AAACATTGTGCCTCGTGCCAAACCTCTGCGCCCGACGCGCCGTGGGTCTCGGTCAACAAGAAGGGCACTCCCACGACCATCACCCCCGTTCTCACCACCGTCTCGGGTACTCCGACCTACGAGTCTGGCGCGCCCAACGCCCTGACCGGCACCGTCTTCACTTTCACAAACCGCCGCGATGCCTTGGTCAGCGTCAGCACGGGCGATCCGCCCATCGCCACGGCCAAAGCCAAGAACGGAAAGGGTGCTTTCGTCCCGTGTCACAACATCGACATGGATCACGCGCCTTTCTGCGCCCCAGAGAAGGATGGCGAGCTCTTTGTCGGCAAGACCTACTATGGTATGTGCCCTTTCTCACCTCCCCTCCCCCCACCATCGCCTTCATCTATGGGCTCCTTGCTAACAGCATCAGTCACCTGGGATGCCACGGCGCCCGTCCTCAAGAGCAACACGAGCGAAAAGGTCTGGATCCACCTCGTCGGCTACTACATCAACAGCACGACGGGCGAGATCGACGAGACTGAGGACCCCATCTTCAACCCCAACAAGAAGCACGTCAAGCCCGCCAAGCACGGCTTCTACCCCTGGCACGTCGGCGGCAACACCATCCCCCGCGGCGAGCAGAACGCCACGATCCAGCTGCGCATCCAGCGCCACATTGACGACGAGTACGTCGGCCCTGACGTCGTCGGCCAGACCGTATTCGTGCGCCGCCAGGACAGGCCCCCGCACCGCGACTCCAGGCCCCCGGGCGACAAGGAGCTGTACATTGCGCTGCCCATCGTCGGTGCCGGCCTCCTCTTCATCCTCGGCGGTCTGTTCTGGTACAACAGGCGAAGCCGCCGCGTCCGGCCTCGGCAACGTGTCGAGTCGCTCGGGTTCGAGAAAGCGCAAGTCGCGGGGCCGCCAAGCTGCTGTCAAGATGCACGGCGGCAGCGCCCAAGGCGTCTGGGTCTGGCGGTCGCGGCAAGAACAGGGGAGAGAATGCCTTTGACGGCGAGAACATGGAGCTCATGGGTGGCCACGACCGGGACTCGAGCCCCGACTCGGATGGCGGCTGGGACGCGAAGCGCTTCGCGGGAGGATCGGGGACGCGCTTCATGGATGATAGGAAGCAGAGGAAGAGGGCGTGAACTGCAGGTGCGGCTTGAATGCAAAAGTCATCTTTTCCGCCTCATCTTTCTCGTGTCAAGTGCAAGACCTGTGTCTTGAGTGTGTCAGGGTGTGCAGCGATGGCATCTGCCCTGGGGATGCGCTCACGGGGAGAATCAGGTTCACGAATTTTCGGGCATAGCAAGGCTGGCTGGTCTAACAGGTCAGCAGCAGATCGGCTGACAGAGCTGCCTGCCGTCATGCGCGGGCGACAGGAGAAGGGCGAGATTCGCTGCTTTGTAGCCCTCGTTTTGTGGAAACATCCTGCCACATCAAGAGCTGGCAAGCACCTCTTGACAAATGTCTCACGAATGCCTCGTGGTTCCTGCCACGGGCTGTGCATGGGCAGGCTTGCGGAGTTACGTCCAGCCGGTCGAGCGAGTGACGATCAACCCCAATGGCCCAAGGTTTCCCAAGGTTTCCCACACAGCTGACATGCTTTCCGTAGCCCATCTGCATCGCAACTTCTGTGGATCGAATTCATATCGCAAAAGTTTCCAGTCTTGCCCATGTCCCGTGACTTAGAAGCACGATGCCCGAACAAAGTTCTCCAGGCGCGGAATCGCGAGGCAGGAGATGTCTCTTGCGGAGAAAGGTCATCTTCCTGCCAGCATACCTATATAAGATGCTCCCCCGGCCATCGACATGAAGGACCCCCGTACGGAGCATTCCCAATTACTTATGAGCTTCGTCTACAGTTATCTCATCACCAACGTCGTCACCAGCACATTCTACTTGAGCATCGACGCAGACCCATACCGTTACCTCAGTCACAAGCCCTCAGCAGCTCTTGATCAGCATGAATAATCCATTCCTGCCGGATCAGATGCCTCAAGGCGGTCCAAACCAGCAGCAGCCTCCTGCGATCACTAACCTTCAAGGCTACCTCCAGTCCCAGCAACAGTCCCAGCAATATACCACTCAAATGGGGCCGATTCAGGGGCCACTCATCAGCACTCGGCCAATTCCCAACAACAACCTGTTTCCCCTGCCTCCTCGACCTCCATTAGATTCAAGCATCTCTTCATATCGCGTACTCGTCGTTCTGGCTTTCCCCACGCCGTCCGCTGGCGCGACGATCCGTGGGTCTGGCCCCTTGAGTCTCCAGTACCCTGGCTACTTTCACTGGATCAACTTGCCACAACAGCCCGGAGCAGTCTTACACAGCCATGCTGCTTGGGCAAGTTGCCCAAAGGTCATCATTCTCATGGCCGAAGATGATTTCCAAAATTTCAGATATTTCTGCAGGGGACTTGCAAACTCTGAGCCAGTTCCCTGGAGTCTCGAGCCGCAAATCATCAAGCATCTGCGTGTTCATGGACATAGCGAAGGCGATCTGGTCGATCGTTTCTCGCAGCTTTGCTTTTTCGGCATGGACAAAGAGTTGACCGCGGCAGAATATCTTTGGTGGCCGGGAGAGCTGGCGGGGGCCACGAGCCAGGGCTTTCGCTGGACCATGATGCCAGCCAACAACCAAAGAAACGGGATCGGCCAGGACTACAGCGCCTGTAGAGAGTTCAGGTTGAACAAGGATCAGATACTTACCTGCAGGCGGAACATAAGGGAAGGTCAAGGATCCCACGCCGTGCAGCACTACGATAAATCTTGGGGAGCTGGCATGAACCAGGATGAGTCCCCGTCGCCCATGGATTTATTCCTCACGTCCATGGATGACGTCCCCTTGCCTGCACAGTATGAACCTCATAGCAATGCTTCGACTCCGATGACTTTGGTCAACGACTTCAGCACCGATTCTACCGTATCACCGGCAGGTGAGGAGTACGTTGCAGAATCTCAAGGCTACTTCAAATCAGACGAGCAGCTTTTGCAAACCCCCATGCATAGCGAACCCTATCCGAATAGCGGGCTTCAGATGGGCTCGATGTGGGACCAACTCTCGATGCCGCCCACGGGCAATCCACAAGAATCGCAGTATACTATCGATCCACGATTGCTGCAGATATGCGACGAACCAGCTTCGAATGACGAGGATGTTTTTTCGTTTCCTTGCGCTGCTTTGTAGGCAGGCAGCGCTCGATAGGGGGTATCTTCTGTCACAATTTGGCAAATATACACGCCAGTCACAGCCTGGCAGGTAGATGATGTATCTGATCGGGTCAGTGGTCATCCGGTGGAATTTGCTGCGCGAGCGTGAGTACTCTTGGTCTTATGGGGTATAGCAGTTTATGAAAATTCTGGGGCAGTATCGGGCCTGAGGGCACTTGGATTGAAACCGGTAGAAGGAGTAAAAGGGCATAGGCTTACAGGAGTCGACATGTCCACCAGAGAACGTGGGTATGTTTGACACCAAGAGTTGGCGTTCGGGCTCTTATTATTGTTGCTATTGAACAGCAGCATACAGTGTAGCAGTAAGGGATATCAACCAAGTATTGGGTCCCCTGCCGTATCGTGCTTGGCAAGGTTGCGATGTCCTCCCCTGTGTCGTCCCTTGAACTTCACATTGGCTACGTTTAAACCATGTTTGAGGGGTCACCAGATCAACCCAACCACGTCTGCCTTGGGACACTCCCGGGGCACTTCAGCGCCCTCGGTACTTATGTTGGGATGCCGACTTGATATACGGGCTACGTTATGCCGCTCGGTAAGATGGCCTCGCCAGGCAGGTCGAGACCACGACATGCTGTGATTTCGTCGAGAAGCCGTTCAGTTCGCCCTCTCCTGTCGAAAGCCTATCAAAGGAGTGACCTGGTCTGGTTTCCTAGGTGGAAAGTGTATGCTCAAGCCCATGGATCGACGCGAGTTTCACGGGCTACTTCATATCGATCGTTCTCTCGGCTGGCGTTTGCCGTAAGATCATGTCGAAACAAGCCATATCCCGAAGAACCGCTGCTTTATAGCTTCAATATCTGAAGGGATCAATGTTGAATCCTTCCTTTGTGCTCCGATGCAGACTAATCCTTCAGACCAAAGTAGCGAACTCGTTGATTATTCTTCACTCAGATTGAAATCTCATCTTTCAAGGCCACTGGTTGCACATCAACACGCACACACACCACCTTCAGATTGACAGACGTGAGTCGTTAACTCTTTGCATACATGCACACAGAATCAGTCACAAGTCATACCACTCCAATTCAACTTTGTACTTTCAGAGGACGCTCACCACCTACTCATTGGCTGGCGGCCCCATGTCCCAATGGATGTCTTCTATACGGCAGCAGCAGCAGTAACATGTTCACGAGCCTTGCTGTAAGACAACCAACATGGCCAAAGCCTCACTCCACCTACCCAGCACGCCAATGTCTAATGACCTGGCCGCGCAGGTTAGACCTAGTGCCTCATGTGAACCGCGATAGCTTGCAACCCGCCCAACGACCGCCGCAGACCGCAGACCGCAGACCGCAGACATGAACCAACCACTTGCCCATCGAACGCAGCCGTTGTCGTAAACAGTCGGTCAACAAAAGCGAGGGTACGACAACAAACAACAAGACGGTTCAGAGTCATGCGTCGTCGTCGTCGTCGTCGTCGCTACACCTCCTTTCCCGCAGGACCTGAACCCCTCCCCTTCGCCCCGCGTTCAGACCGGAGACCGCAGAAAGGGGCCCAGATCTCACGGGGAGCTATCTGATAGGCCAGGCAGATCTCAGAGGTGGCAACATCGAAAAACAACGAGAGAGGACATGGCCAGTCGTTCTGCAGCAGTCTGACATGGCTGGGACACACACCCGTTCGGCGGGAGTGGCCTATCCCATCCCGTCTGCACCCACAGCTGCTCGCTTTTCTCACATGCTTCCCGCGAGGCGCACACGCTCATTCACAGGAACCGTCCAGCCCAATACTCTCCCACGATATGCGTGTCAGGCGTTGTCCAGACCGGGTTCTATCCCTCTCATCGCAAACTTGGCACATTCACTAGCACAGGAACAAGGGGCAGAGAGAGCTGGGAGGGTGGGAAAAGAAGGCCGATCTAAGATGAGGATTGGAAGAAAGTGAAAAGAAAAAATGGGATTCGTCGATGCAACCGATCGCCATGGGCAAAATGGAACATGGCGAAATGCGCATTGCAAATAGTTCCCTCAGGGACAGCAGCGGAAACCTGGTCGGCCAGCAAATGGGCAAATGTCTCGAAGAATGCGACGGCCGGGCGCTAGGTGCCGGTGGTGGTAGGTAGAAACCGGTTTTTGTGCTGCACTTGCTCTCCGCGCGCGCGCCCTTTCAGTTTCCCCCCTCCTGCTGGTATGCGGATTAAGTGGTCCATGGGCGAATGGAAGGACGAAGGAGGATCTTGTCCCATCGTGGGATCGAGATCGAAAAAGGGCTGCGTACGTGTTCGCGAGGAGTAGGGGTAGGGGGAGACGCTAGCGATCCAAGGTTTGCGTGGGGAGGTTAGAGAGGGTGTGGTCAATTGATTCCGTCGAAACGGCCGAGGGAATCGTTGATTGATTGATTGATTGATTGATTGATTGACTGCCTTGTCTCCAGGGTTTGGTGAAAGGGGGGGGCTGGTGAGATATTGTATCCCCTGGCATAACCTGATCACCGCCCTCCGAACACATGCATGCCTTTCTCTGCCCCCTGCCCTTTGGATGAAGAAGGAGGGTGACCACGAATTTGGAAATGGTACCTTGAATTCTTGATGCCCGGAAGAGTCAGTATTCACTCGTTCAATGATCCGCATCAGGGGGGTTTGAGCACCAACCCAAACCCTTTCGAGATGGCGTCCAGCCAGCCCATCAGCCATGAATGACATGTCGTCCAGATCGGAAGATAGTCCCATTCGTCCAGTGACAGATCATCGCGCACAGGGGGGGAGGAGGAGGAGGAGGAGTGCCATCAGCACCACCAATACCACCACCACTACAACGGCGACATTGAAAACGCGTGCCCGGAAATGAAGGCGGCCGCTGCATCGCGTCGTAAACCCGACCAGCCAGAGCGAGATTCGAGCCGGAGCAGTAGAAGCGCAGCCACAATCCAAACCCAAGCCCAAGCACAAGGCTGGATGGAAGAGGGGGCCGGGGGATCATGTACCTCTGAATCTTGTTTTGGAGGCCGGTCCATGCGCCGGGCCCATTGTCCCGGCTCTGGTAACACGCGAGGGCATCAATTGGGTGCCGCGCTCGACATGAGGAAAGCATGAAAGAAGAAAAAGCCCATCAGCTCGTGATGGCTTGCAGTGTGGCATGCAGTAGGCCCTCCTGATTGTTTTCCGCATCATGGGTCCCCTCGGCCTCATCGTGTAGAGGAGGGTCGGTTTTGTCCCTTTACCACCCATTCGTTCAATTTGCAGCTCTCATCTGCCGTGGGAGGGATATGCCGGTCAGCCACTGCCAGCTGGCGTGATAACAGCCCGCCTAAGGTGCTAACCACCACCTGACCCAAGCTGAACGTCTTCTTCTGGACGTGTTCGCTATCGTCGAGACCAGTTCACATGGCGTGTTGTCGTATGAAATGGCACCATCGTATTGTCACTGACACGTCTCACACGCGTCTGCCCATTGTGGTCATCAACAAGCAAACAAGCTTAGCTCCAAGCTCATAGCGCATAGCTCAAGGAAGTAAAGCCTCATAGGCTTTTGGGAGAAGCGCGAAGCTCAAGTCGGGAATGGCTCGGCGACGAAAGCAGTGGCGTTCAGCCAGGTCCGCGGGTGAGCTGGGCCAAGAACCTACTCTGCGTCCGTGCAGGCGCGGTCTCGCTCGGTTTCATCGTTGAAGTCCCGCGCACTATGTGATGGCATCATTATGCTCTTGATTATGTTTGGCCGCCGCACCCCCACGACACCGTCTTGATCTTTCGGGAGCCGTTACCAAAACGAAGAAACTCAAAAAGGCTGCAGACGAACGAGGATGGAACTGGTCAAGGCACAAACTCCGTCGTAGGAGGAGGCGAACGCGTCCCGGTCCCTCGGCGGACGAACGCATCCTTTGATGAGCCAAGCCGAGAGATCCTCTAGCGATAGCATTGAAGCGATTGGCTGAGGCCGTGGCTCTGGCAAACCTGCCTAGAGTAGCCGTGCCGTATTTGACGCGCTGACGGGAGAGGGGTTGGCGAATCATTTCATGTTGCAGCATCAGAACCCAAGACAGGGCCGCCAAACGCAATGCTGAGAATGGAGCTAGAGAGGGGGGGGGGGCCAGGGGCTTGCCCGAAGCTTCGCCTCTTGCGGGGTGCCCGAGGTTCCTGTGGGCTTGTCAGCATCCAAGCTCCGCCGCCTTCAGGCTGGCTGGGAGGCCTGGGGCTCACAAGCAGTGCGGGGAAGCTGGCGAAGCATGGCCATGTGAAAGCAAGTGCTTTTGAGCCGTAGCGATGCGGCGCGTACCCTGACGGCAGCAGGACGGGAGACGACGATCCAAGTCCAGCATGACTGCATGAACGACGGATGAGCAACAGCGCGACTTGGTGCGCGGCCGAACCAATGCTGACATGCGCGAATGTGTCTCACCCCAAGAGCGGCCGGCCGGCGCCGGCGGCATGCGGGAGCACGCTGCAGCGCTTGAACCCGAGCCGACTCTGGCCCATGGTGAAGCCGGACCTGACATTGGTGCGTATGGGTAGGTTGTGCATATGATCCAATGTACAGACTCAAACGCCGATCGACGAAGGTGACGGCGTACACTTTGGCTGCTCGATCGTAACGAACTTCACCATGTCTGCCGCTTGAACACGTCGCCGTTGGTGAGTAGCGCTCGGCACGCTATGCGAAAAGCAGAGGATGCATGAAATGGACGCCAAGACGGAGTAAGCTCACGGCACAATCTTAGAAGACAACCCCCCCGGTTTGATCTTACGGAGAGGCGGTGCTTCCTCCACGATCCGTCCATCTCACGTCACACTCGAGCGACAAATCAGCGAGCCTGCAGTGGCTGTATGGAAGAGCCAGAACGTCTTGGTCAAGCAGAGGGGGGAAAAATGAAGAATCATCAAGATGCAAGCCTGGCCACGGCTCGTTCCCGTTCATTCGATGGTTTCCGTGGTGAAGGACATTAGGATAGATGGCTTGACTGGGGTGAGCGGAACCGAAATGGCACAGCGCCCCCAAGCAGCAAAGAGACGAGGGA